ATTAGCAATCAGTCTGAAAACAATATAGAAAGGGGATCTGAAAATCATGTCACATGAATTTTTTTGTTTTGTTTTGTTTTTGACTCTCAAAAGATGATGATTTAGGACATGAAAAAAATGTTTCAAATAATTGAATAACTTAAAAACAGTATAGTCTGAAAAACAGTATAGTCTGATTTAAGGTACTTCAGAAGACAGAATTAATGAATGAAAGTTAACAAACAAGCTAATTTTAGCTTTATATGAAAAAGAAATTCCACTTAATTCAAATTTTACAAAAACAGTTTTGTGAGAAACAAGTTTACTAGTGCCCAAGAGCACATAATCACTTGACAATCTGTGCTTAGGATTCAGTGTCTTCTAATTCTGAAACTGTTTTGAAATTAACTGCTTTTGCCTTTCAAGAGTCATAGAAAAGGTGAACCTCAAGTATGGTAGGAAGTCTCTCATTTTCATAATTTTTCAACAGTCTGTTCAAGGCACTAGGGGAAGAGGAAGGACAAGGTAAATAAGGTAGGAATTCCTGCAGGGTGGAAAGGGAAGAAAAGTTGTGGTGGCCCATCTCAGGGTGTTGGATCCTTAGTGGAATAAGAAGGGTGTCTGAGGGTGAGGCACAGCCTGATGTTAGAGACTAAGGCCTATCAAGATAAAGAGACTATCCATATAATAGGCAGCTTTGGTAAACAGTGTTGGAGCTTAGTGGTTAAGAAAGGCATTTACATGGGAAGACAGCCTACTGTGGTATGTTAAAAGCCCTGGAAAGGGAGAAGGATAGTCATATGGTGGGGGAGGTAAGACATGGGGGGAGGCAGCAGAATAAGATTATCAGAGCTTGAGATGGATAAGGAGAATATACATGAAAAGGGTGATTCTAAATTAAAATAGGGTTAAGAAGGCAGCCTATACCAGTGGGGAAAGAGAAAAGGTTGGTTACACACAGGAGGATTGATCAAATGAGAAAATATATCCAAAAAAAAAAAAAGAGAGAGAGAGAGAGAACCACTTTTCCCACAGTCAAAAGGGAGTTGTAAATATGAAAAATGGAAGACTAACATGAATCTTATAGTATTATTAGATTGGATTAGAGAGATGAGAAATAAGTATGTGTGTGCATAGATATATGGGGTGCATATGTCACACACAGCATGGCATTTAGAAACAAGATCTGGGTGCTAGACAAGTTCATTGGGTATCACTGATGGGTATCTATATGTACACATATTCCCTCACTCTGGAGTGAGGAAATATGTTTATGTGTGTGTGGTGTGTGTGTGTGTGTGTGTGTATTATATATATATTATATATATATATGTGTATGTGTGTGTGTACATTATGTATAAGTTACATATAAATAAGTGCATACATGTGTATATACACACATATATATGCCAAAGCAGTGACACTCCAACAGTAATGACCTCATATAGCACCTAGATTTTGGATTCATTCACCAGCACCAGCACAAAACATAAAAAAGAGTACAATGAAACTGGGGCTGGGATGTGGCTCAGTGGCAGAGCACTTGCCTTGCACACATAAGGCACTGGGTTTGATCCTCAGAACCAAATAAAAATAAGTAAATAAAATAAAGATCTTGTGTCCATATACAACTTAAAACAAATTAAAAACAGTATGATGAACCTGGAATATTCAGTGTCAAAAGAAAGTACTCCAGAAGGACAAATACCACATATTCTCTTTTATATGTGTAATCTAAAATAATAAAATTCATAGAAGCAGAGAGTAGAATGGTGTTACCAGAGGCTGTGGGGTGGGAGAAATGGAATATGATGGTCAAAAGGTACAAAATCTGAATCAGATAGAAGGAACAGATTTTTCTGTTTTTTGAAATCTATTGCACAGTATGGTAAATATAGTAAATAACAATATGTTGTACATTTCAAAATCACTAAAAGAATAATTTTTGAATGTTTTCATCACAAAAATACTGTGGTATTTAAGTTGATGTATATGTTAATAAGCTTATTCCACACTATATTTATAAACCATAACATCACTTTATTTTTATTTATTTTATTTTATTTTGTAGTTGGACAGAATGCCTTTATTTTATTTGCTTATTTTTATGTGGTGCTGAGGATTGAACCCAGTGCCTCATGCATGCTAGGCAGGCACTCTACCAATGAGCTACAGCCCCAGCCCCCATAACATCACTTTATAAGACATAAATATATACAACTAAAATTTGCTAATTTGTACTTTAAAAAATAGGCAAACAGAAAAATAAAATGTTCAAAAAATGACAAAAATACATAAGCCAACTCAGAGATCCCACTGATCATATCTGGTGCAATTTGAAAATCTAAATAAATAATGAAGCAATGGATTATGGCCCACTGAATAAGAATCAAGAAGCCTATATTAAAATAAACATATGAGTGAATTTAAAGCACTGTAAGGAATAAGATATAGTCCGAAAATATTCTATAAATAATTTGTTAATTTACAAAATGGAAAAGAATAACTCACAAATAAAAGGCCTGGCAGACAACCAGAACATAACCACTAATAAAACATAACCACTATAAAACACACTGAAAACTGTATACCCAAGTGCCATGTGAGAAAACACAATGAAAAGAACAGGGCACAATTTTTATGATATTCCTAACTAAAGATCATAACTTGCTCTTAATTAAGAGATTATATCAGAAAAATCTAAAGCTGGGTGTAAGTGATACACTCCTATAATCCCAGCTACATGGGAGGCTGAGGCAGGAAGAATACAGGCTTGAGGCCATTCTGAGCCAAGACTCTGCCTCAAAATAATTTTTTTTTAAAGGCATGGGATGTAGCATGCTTATCCTGTGTGAGGCCCTTAATCTGAAGTACAGCAAAACAAAAAACACAGAACCTGAACTGAGGAATATTCTACACAATAGTTGGCTTGTAACCCTCAAAAGTGTAAAAGTCATAAAAGTTGAAGGAAGAATAAGGAATTGTTCCTGACTGAGAAAAAGATAAATGATAACTAAATTAACAAATATATAATTTTCATTAGATCATTTTGCTATAAAGGACATTATTGGAACAACTTGCAAAACTTGAATTGTATAAGTGTATTAATTTTCTGGATTTTGGTTGCTATATACTGTTGTACTGTAGGAGAATGTTCTCGTTATAGGACTATGGGGGAAACTTATTCTCAAATGGCTCAGAAGGAAGAGGTTTTATTTATTGTACTTCCAAATTTTCTATAAGCCTGAGACACTTTGAAAGTAACCAAAAATATGTTGTCATTATTTTAGAAGTCAAAATAGAAATGGTGAGGAATTTCCAAAATAAAATGTAAGTGAAAAATCATTTTTTAAATTATGTATACTACAATGGATATTGGGTGTATACACATCAGAATCAAGGATGTTTTCAAAAAATAGTGAAGCCTGGCAGTCCAACCAAGGCCAGTTAAATTTCTAGGGGTAAGATGTAGGTATCAGTATTCTTTAAAAGCTCTCTAATAATTGCAATGTGAAGTCAAGGCTGAGAACCATTGGCATGTGGCAGGCCCTAGAAGCTCCATTTTACGCACCTTCTCTGTGCAGTTTCCCAGGCCTTTCCCTGATCACTTTCTCGACTCCGCCCTGGATTATTAGTGTAATAGTTTAAATCACATTGTGTTGCAATAATTTGTTTACAATAGTTTTATTTCACACTAAAACACATTACTTCTAAAATATGGGTTGCTACCTTAGTGTTGTATCTTGCCTGCTTGGTACAGTGACAGTGCTCAGGTCCATAACAGACACTTCAAAAATGTTGATTATATCAGCATACTACAGTGATACAGCCATGTCAATGTTTACAGCAGCTCAATTCACAACAGCTAAACCATGGAACCAACCTAGGTGTCCTTCAATAGATGAATATGTGGTGTATATAGTCAAAGAAGAAGCTTTTAAAGAAGAAAGAAATTATGGCGTTTGCCAATAAATGGATGGAGTTGGAGTCTATCATGCTAAGTGAAGTAAGCCAATCCCCAAAAAACCAAAGCCCGAATGTTTTTTCTAATATGTGAATGCTAATTCACAAAAAATCGTGTGTGGGGGTCGGGGATTGAGAAGAACAGAGTTACCTTAGATTAGATAGAGGGAAATGAAGGGAGGGGAGGGGAGAAGATATGGGCATAAGGAGGACAGTAAAATGAAACAGACATTATTACTTTATGTATATATATGACTGTATGACCAATGTGATTCTACAACATGCACAATCAGAAAAATGAGAAATTATATCTCATCTATGTATGATCTATCAAAGTGCATAAATGCATTCTACTGTCATGTATAACTAATTGAAACAAATAATTTTTTTAAATAATATTGATTTTAGGGCTGGCGATGTGGCTCAAGTGGTAGCGCGCTCGCCTGGCATGCACAGGGCACTGGGTTCGATCCTCAGCACCACATAAAAATAAAATAAAGATGTTGTGTTCACCGAAAACTAAAAAGTAAATATTAAAAAAATTCCCTCTCTTTAAAAAAATATTGATTTTAAAAAGAAAAATAAGAAAAAGTAAAAACAGAAGAAAAGGAAGAGAGAAGGAAGACAGATATGTAAACAAAAAGTTATCAGAAGGGAGTAATTTGGCTTTGCAAACTCCTTTTTCTTCAGCTGTGCCCTACTAAACTATCTTGTGAAACCAAAGTATGCTCTTCATTATCAGTTGTACTTAGAAGTACCAGAGTGAACTTTACATGTTCTCCTAAAAATATAAAACTCAAGCTACTTTTTAAAAGTGGTTTGAAACTCTGAATGTTTTTTTCTTCTAGGTAAAAGATTCTTTGTGGGAAAAAAAGAGAAATTCCCCACCCATCCTGACATACTCTTAAAAACATGGAAATATTATGATTACTCTGTAACCAAGATTTTTCTGTCTTCTAATATCAGGAATTATAAAATTACTAAGATAATAATATATTAAAAATTGAGGCAGAAATGATACACATTATTATTCAGTTTAAATAACTTTTATCACTTACCTTATCTGCACACATAGACACTTTAATATCCTGTTGAGATATTTCATAATGTCGGATATTAAAAACATAATTACCAGCCAATTTCAAAATATCTGCTGATATATACTCTAGTACAGCCACAATATATAGGGACACATGGTAATCCACTTTATACCCCAAAACTTCCTGTGGAAAAAATAAATAATTTAATTCCAAAAAATAACACTGTCTAGTATCAGTTAAACACTTAAAAATTCCTACTTTTTTCTTATAAAGAACTTTCTATAAGTCAAATGTCTCAACTTATAGGTATTGCAGGATATAAAATTACCTTTTGATCCCAGTGCTACAGGCGTCAAAAAAATTTTTTTAAAGATATCTAAACAAATAAATCTGATTTCTTATCAAATGAGAATAGTTGATTATAATATAGAAATTATGAGCTGTACTTCACTGAAACCTCTTAACACATTATCTAAAACCCATGTGACAAATATCTCCTTTCTTCAAGGACCTTGTTTTAAACCAGCATCCCCTAATTATAACATTTTCTATTGGAAGGGAGGATGTATGTTTGTATGTGTATAGGGCGGGTGTTCTTGAAATTTCTTCAAAATGGTCTTTGAATCAATATACAACAAGCATATTCTAGAGATTAAATAATATTCTCTGGCCTGCTTTTCTAAAGTGTAGTGAAATATCTGTATTACAGATTAATTTTAAAATGTTTATGACATTTTAAAATGACATTTTTATATTACATATACTTTTTTAATATTTATTTTTTAGACACAATATCTTTATTTATTTATTTTTATGTGGTGCTGAGGATCGAACTCAGGTCCTTGCACATGCTAGGCGAGCGCTGTACCGCTGAGCCACAACTCCAGCCCACATTACATAAACTTTTGACATTACATATACTTTTCTAATCAACAAAAGCTTAAGAATCATGGCCAAATACATAAGAACCAGTCAGGGTAGCATTCCTTGAAAAGTGCCACAATGCATTCTCACAATTAATAACTTTTAATATTATTTGAAAGCAATCCTAATTCATCAGAGCACATTTATTTTTATTTTGTTCTTTTGGGGCAGGCAGTGCTGAATATTGAATACAGGGCCTCACATAATTAAGCATGTGCTCTACCACTGACATATACTTGCAACCCCTATTTTATTTTGTACACATACTAATATGCACATATGTATGTATGTGTACAATACACATGCAAGTGCACATATATACTAACAGACCATGCTACATTAATACTACATAAATACACCAATGATTTATAAATAATTATTTGTAAAAGAATTCCCCAAATGTTTAATCTTATTACCTTCAATGAAGGATGAATTTTGTCCACAGGTAGTAAAAGAGGATTTCTTCGTTTTCGTTTCTCTATGGCAGATTGTGCATCAGCAATAGCCCATTTGTCAATTGGATGAGGAAAGGTCTTTTGAACTCGTTCCTGTTCAGATGGTTGCAATACCATTGCAGAATTAAGAGAAGTGTTCACAAATAGAAAACTCATAAAAAAGTCAACTTTAACATTATATTTACTGCAAAAAGGGAACAGTATGATATAATATGTTCCGTTTACTATATTAAATAAATTTTTATGTTTAAAAAAGGCCAATAGGGGGCTGTGGTTGTGGCTCAGCAGTAGAGCGCTCGCCTAGTACGTGCGGGGCATTGGGTTCAATCCTCAGCACCACATAAAAAAGGTATTGTGTCCAACTACAACTAAAACAAAATATTAAAAAGAAAAAAAAAAGGCCAGTAGGACTATTAAGATTTTTTCACATAATTTAAGATGAACTGGAGGCTGGGAATGTAGGTCAGTGAGAAAGCACTGGTCTAGATAGTATGCATAGTACTACAAAAGTAAAAAAAAAAACAAAAAAGATGAACTTGAAAAAGGAAAAGATATAATGTATAGGACATTAACATGAAATAGTTATCAGTGATCACGTTAAGTAAAGAGAATTTATAAAAACAGATATCATGAGATCATGTGGGAGTGGGACCTCAGAATGACCATGGAAATACAGATTTTGGCAAAAATAATCCAAGCCTCTGTGGTTCACCTAATTTTAAATTTAACAAGTGATTGACACAAATAATGAGAATTACTGATACCTGAGTAAAACTTCAATTTAGCAAAGTTTCCTACTTTTAAAATTATATTCTCATATTTTAGCAAATTTAGCTACTGAAAAGTATTCTTTCATTGTATTTATTTAAAGTTCAAATCTTTCAGTGGAGAAGTATAAAAATAAATGTTTTAATTCCAACGGTTCCTGAAAAAAATAATACCTTAATTACTGCAAATTAAGATTTTCCTAAATGCTGCAAGTTGTTGTTTTATTATAAAAACAATCTTCAAAAGAAAGATAATGTAAATTTTATAGTACAAAAGCAATTTTTAAAAGCTGTACTAGTACTTCTACAATTCTAAAAATACTCCCATGAAACTGAGGCAAAACAAGTATTTGAACTCTAATGCACACACACTCTTTTAGAGGTATTTTTAATCAATAAGCAAAAATTTACATTTATCTACTGAAATAATATTTTTATGCAGAAAATGGCACAGATCTTAAGTGTACAATTAGATGAGTTTGTTTTGTTTTATATGGGTGATTGAACCCAAGAGTGCTCTATCACTGAGCCATCCTTCCATCCCTTTTTAAGAATTATTTTCATTTTTTATTTTGAGACAAGGTCTCACTAAGTTGGTTAGCGCCTCCATAAATTGCCGAGGCTGGCCTTGAACTTGTGGTCCTCCTGCCTCAGCCTCCCGAACCACTAGGATTACAGGCGTGTGCTACCATGCCTGCCCAACTTGATGAGTTTTGAAAATGTTCACGCTTTTGTAACCGTCATCTAAATCAACATAGAGAACATTCTATAATTGATCTTCATCCTTCCTAGGCAACCACTACCCTGATTTCTACCACCATATGTTTTACCTGTTTCTAAAGTTCTTAAAATGAAATCTTACAATATATGTACTCTAGGTTCTGGCTTTTTTCGCTCTGTGAATTGCAGCTATGTTAGAGCACGTGTTAATAGTTGTTGATTAGTATTTCATTTTATGAATTTACCACTATTAAGAATTAAACTGCCTAGACATTCACATGTAAACCTCTTCAGGAACATATATTTTCTTTCTCTAGGGTAAATTTGGAGAACTGCTGAGTCACGCAATAGATATATAACTTTATTAGAAACTGCTAAACTATTGTCAAAAGTTTTATGCCAGTTTATATTCCCACAAGCAATATAAAGAGTTCTAGCTGCTCTATACTGTCACCAACATGTGGCATAATTAATCTTTAATTTTATAGATTTTGGTTGATGTGAAATAATATCTCACTGTGATTTGTTTTATTTTTGCATACTAGGGATTGTACCCTGAGCCTCATGCATGCTAAGCAAGTGCTATACCACATAGTTGCATCCCCAGCTCATTGTAATTATTTTTTTAAAAATATTTTGTTATACATGGACACAATATCTATTTTATTAATTTATATTTATGTGGTGCTGAAGATAGAACCCAGTGCCTCACATGTGTAAGGCAAGCGCTCTGCTACTGAGCCACAACCCCAGCCCTCTCATTGTGATTTTAATTCCTATTTTCCAGATGACTTCTGAGCTTTAGTACCTTTTCATGTACTTACTAGCTACTAAATATATTTTATTTCGTGAAATTTCTTTTAAAGATTTTTGCCAATTTGGGGAAGAAGGTATATTTTTCTTATTTATTTGTAGAAGTTTTTTAACTTATTTTGGGTTCAAGCCCTTTGTCAGTAATACATTTTACAAGTATTTTCCCTTCATATGGGATTTGTACCTTTTTACTGTCCCATCAATTTTATTCTTTCTTAGTTACTGTGTTTTGAGTCCTATCCAAAAATATTTGCCTAACCCTTCTGAGTGTAATGATACATGTCTGTAATTCCAGGATAATGCAGAAGGATCACAAGTTAGAGGCCAGTCCTAGCAACTTATGAACCCTAGCAACTTAGTGATACACAGTCTTAAAATAAAAAATAAAAAGGGCTGGGGATATAGCTCAGTGGTAGAGCACCCCCAGGTTCAATCCCCAATTAAAAAAAAAAAAAAAGTATGCCTAATCCCAAGTTAAGATGATATTCTCTGGCATTTTCTTTTAGAAACCTTACAATTTTCAGTTTTTATGTCTATGTCTAATTGCTTTTGAATTAATTTTTGTCTGTGGTATGAGACAGATTTCAAGGTTTTCCTCTCATAAATTTATCCAATTGTTTTAATATTTTTTTAATGAAAAACTTTTCTTTCTCAATGAACTACTTTGTAATCCTAGCAACTTGGCAGGCTGAGGCAGGAGGACTACAAATTCAAAGCCAGCCTCAGCATCTTAGAAAGGCCCAAGTGATTTAATGAGACCCTATCTCAAAACAAATAATAAAAAGGGTTGGTGATGTGACTCAGTGGTTAAGCACCCCTGGGTGCAATCCCTACAAAAATAAAACACACCACATATATCACATATAATTTCAATGGCTTATTACTAATAATTTAGAATAATATAGATCCACATACAAAATTTAATTTGTACAGCAATTCCATGGCTCTTTGAAATAACAAAATAATTTTTACCTCAACATCTTGAACAGTCCTTGGTTGGGCCATGCATAATTTATTAAGCAGCTGAAAAATCAGTTCTTCAATATAATAAAGAGACTCTTCATTAGCTGATAGATTGGGATGTACTTGCTCCTGAACCTTAAAATAAAAGTTCTCAGTTATAGTACTGGTAAAATAATACAAAATGAATTAAAAAAAACTAAGCAAATCTTATATATAATTAATATTTTGCTAGGATGGTTACTCTAATACAAACATAAATCAAAATGAAAAACTATTTATCGATCCATGTAAACTTTCCTTAACTCACAGAGCAGTGTTACTTTATACTTTTTTGGATCTTTTGAAAATCTGTGAAAAGGCCATTGAGTGTTCTTCTCCCTCAAACCAAAAAGCGTGTGTATGTGTGTGTGTGTGTGTGTGTGTGTATGTGTCTCTACAATTTCAAAGGAATCATGGATACCCTAAAGCCAACTAAGAAAACTGCTAGGTCATGAACCCCAGCAATAAAGGTATCTCTGAAAAAAACATACTACTATACAAATTATACAGATACTTTATGGAGTAGGTGCTACTGAACTTTTATAATGGCATATGTTGCTTATTTTACCACCTAACTATGTAGAACCCTTTTTGTTTTTAATTTACTAAAGCTAAACCTTAATAATTTTATCCTAAAAATATCCAGTTTGACTGGATATGAGAAATACAGTAAGTAATATTGCCTACAATAGAGTAGGTGTCTTATAAATACTTGCTAACAGAACTTAAGTACTGCTTTAAACTTTTTATGGCAGGGTATTAAAAGGATATCAGTGCCCTTGACAAATAAACAAATAAAAAATCCCAGAAATCTTCAATAGTCTCATAATTATTTTTAAAAATTGAATCATTAATTAAATCTATCCCACAAAGAAAATAGCATGAAGTTGACTATTTCATCTAAATTCTCAAAATTCAGGATAAAATTCTTCCTCACATCTGGATCATGTATTCACTATGAAACCAATAAATACCAATGAATGGATGGCTTATAATTTAGGTTTTACCATTTCCTGAGTGGTCTACCCTTGAATAAAATCATTGCAAAAAACATTAGCATAAAATAGAGCATTACAGCCTCTTATATTCTGAAGTCTTATAAGATCTATAATGAAGTCCCTTCTGTCATTGCTAATATTATTTATTTGTATGTTCATTCTTTTTCTTGGTTTAGTATCTGAGTTTTATTACTTTTATTAATTGAATCAATTTTAGTAATCTTTTCAAGAATCAATTCTTGACTTCGTTGATGCTATTTTATGTTTCATTTATTTTTGCTTCATCTTTATTATTTCTTTTGCTTTTTCTGTTCTTTTGCTAACTTTCTGAAATGAATACTTAGCTCATTACTGTTCAAATTTCCTTCTTCAATATGAGCATTTTCTCAAAGTGCTACTTTTGTTAAAATTCACAGATTTCTTAAAAAAAATTTTTATTTGTAGATTAATACAATATCTTTATTTTATTTATTTAGTTTTATGTGGTACTGAGGATTTAATCCAGTGTCTCACACATGGGAGGCAACCTCTCTACCACTGAGCCACAACCCTAGCCAAAAATCCACAGATTTTTAAAAAAATATTTATTTTTTTTTAGTTGTAGTTGGACATAATACCATTACTTATCTATTTATTTTTATGTGGTGCTGAGGATTGAACCCAGAGCCTTACATGTGCTAGGTGAGCACTTTACTGCTGAGCCATAACCCCAGCCCCAAAATCCATAGATTTTGAAATGAAATATTTTTGTAAACATTCAGTTCAAAATAACTGTTAGTATATTAGGAAAAAAATGATAACATTAGTATTATGTTTTTTTTCCTAATATACTCTGGAATCTAGAAGTGAATTTCTTAACTTCTGAATATATGGGATTTTTTTAGGTTATCTTTTTATTGATTTCTAGAATAATCGTGGTCATAATACACTTTTTATAATTTCAAATTTTTGAAATTTGTTGGGATTCAATATTATAATTCATTATATGGGCCTACTTGATTTCATTGACAAAAATCATCAAACATTTAAGGAAAAAATGCAACAATCTTAAGCAAACTTGACCAGAAAAATAGAAAAACACTAACATTTCTAAATTAATGATGAGACTATCCTTGATATGAAAACTCAAAAAGAAAATTGAAAATTTTAGGCCATTTTCACTCTTCACAGAAACCAAAGGCTAAATAAAATATTAGCCAACTAAATTCCATAATATATATTTTAAAAGACTATATACAACATGATCCATTTGGTTTAACCCAGGAAGGTAAAGCTAATTTAATGCTGGAAAATCAAGTAATATAACTGAATACTTTAGATGATTAAAAGAGAAAAATAAGATCCTCTCAAATAGATGTTGACAAAGTATCTAAAAAATTTTCAACATCCATCATAAAATCTCTCAGTGAACCTCCTTAATTTGGCAAAGGATATCTAACCAAAAAAAGGTAAAATAAAATCAAAGTTAATGCTAAAACAACAAAAAGCTTCATTTTGAGAACAGGAAAAGGGCAAAGATACACGCTATCATTATTTCTATTTCACATTGTACTGGAGATCCTGGTTAGTGCAATAAAGTGAGAAGAAGTAATAAACGTATAAGAATTGGTAAGGAAGAAACTAATTTTCAGATAATTTGATTGTGCCTTGTAATAGCTGATTTTGGAGTACCTAGATATTTGATTATACATTATTTCTGAGTATCTGAGGGTATTTAAGATAAGATAAACATTTAAATTGGTAGAATTAGTAAAGCAAATTGCCCTCTCCAATGTGGGTGGCCTCATCTATTCTACTAAAGACTTATATATTAAAAGAATAAAAGGCTAAGTAATAAAGAATTATTTCCTTGCTTGACTGTATTCAAAATGAGATATCAGTCTTCTGTGTTTGGATTAGGACTCACACTGGAATTTATAATATCAGCTCTTCTGGTTTCTGGCCTTTAGACTCAGACCACAACTATAGTATACTGGGTCTCCAACTTGCCAAATACAGATTTTGTTCTTCTCAGCCTCCATAATTGCATGAGCCAATTCTCTTATAGTAGTAAATCTCTTTCTAAATATGTATGTGTGTGTGTATGTGTATTATTAGTTTAGTTTCTCTAGAGACTCCAGATTAATACAACCATGCAAGACAAACCTATTGTACAGATAAATTATCTGAATTCATAAAAAGTAAACTTTCATTTCTATGCACCAGCAACAAAGCTAGAAAATAAAATTTTCAAATAATTGTTTTTATAATAGAATAAAAAATATCATGTACTTTGGACTAAATCTTACAAAAAGAAGATGACCCTGTGGGAGAAAATCATACTATTAAGAGAAACTGAAAATCTAAATACATGAAAGAGAATAACTTTGTGATTATCGGACTTAATATTGTAAATATATTAATTCTCCACATGAAGTTAACAAAATTACAATTAAAATCCAGCAGGTTGATTTCGTGTGTGTGTACGTGTGTGTGTGTGTGTGTGTTTGTGATGCTGGGGATGGAACCCAGAGCCTTGTTCATGCAAGGAAAGCATTTTACCAACTGAGCTATATTTCCCAGCCAAGGTTGTTTTCTGAAATTGACAAGATAATTTCAAAATAAATTGACAAGATAACTTCAAAAATAATATAGAAAATGCAAAAGACTAAGAAAATCAGTCACATACTCTTAAAGAAGCAAAAGTATTTGGTTCCCTAGTTGTTATTCTTTACTACAAACCTGCAGCAATTAATGGTATTGGCATAAGGATAGAGAAATAAATCAATGAAACAGATGAGAGTCTTCAGAAGCAAGATTATATGTATATGGACCCTTGACTTAAACAAAACTGACAATTTACTAGAGTATGGGAGAGTGTAGACTGTGGAGAAGTAAGGCAAGTGGATGAACAATTAAGACACCTATATAGAAAAAAACCAAACTCAATCTCTACTTCATATTTTACATAAAAATCAATACTTGCTGGATTTCAGACCTATTAAATACATATTTAATAAAGTTCTGATAATGTAAACAGATGTCTTCATGATCCTAGGATAGAAAAAGACTTATTATATAGAACACATAAGTTATTAACCATAAAGGGAAGGGGTAACACACTTTAACTATATTTAACTCATCAAAAGCTACCTTAAAGAAAGAAAAAAGGTAAGTTATGGAAGTGGAGATGTATGTGACAAATATAACAAAATGATTCATATCCAGAATATATAAAGAACTTCTAAAACTTCAATAAGAAAAAAATTATCCAAACCCCAATAGAGGGGTTGGTGTTATGTAGCTCAGTGGCACAGCGCTTGCCTAGCAAGTGTGAAGCACTGGGTTCCATCCTCAGCACCATATAAAAATAAATAAATAAAAGTGTTTTACCCATCTACAATTAAAAAAAAAAAATAGAGAGCTGGGGACATAGATCAGTTGTAAGAGTGTTTGCTTACCATGCACAAGGCCCTGGGTTCAATCCCCAGCACCACCAGTGGGGGAGAAAACCAAACTCAGTAGAAAACAAATGCAGGTATGGATAGGGGATATAGCTCAGTAGTGGAGTATTGCCTAGCATGAGCAAGGCCCTAGGCTTGATTTCCTGCCCTGCAAAATAAAAAAAAAGTAAAGGCAAAAAATACTTAAAATGAGGGCTGGGACCATAGCTCAGTGGTAGAGCGCTTGCCTGGCATGTGTAAGGCACTGGGTTCAATTCTTAGCACCACATAAAAATAAATAAAATAAAGGTTAAAAAATACTTAAATGAGCACTTCACAAAAGAAGAAATTTAAATAGCCAACATACATATGAAGATACTCTAGCTCTTTAGTAAACAAAGAAATGCAACTTGAACCACACTGAAAGTTATTACCCACTCACCAGTCAGCAAAATTAAAAAGTCTATTAATATCAAATATTGGTGATTATGTGGAGCAATAGGAACTCTCATACACTACTGGAGTGTTAAATGGATCAATTGCTTTCAAAAATTTCACCATTATACAGACATGAGCCACATGACATTCTGGTTAGCAACAGATCACACATAAGAGAGTGATTCCATAAGATTATAATGGAACTAGCCAGACACAGTGGTGCACCTGCTATAATTCC